TGTCCTCAGCTCGAGGAACCTTGTCCTCAGCGTGAGGAAACTTGTTCTCAGTGTGACGTACCTTGTCCTCAGTGTGAGGTACCTTGTGCTCAGCGTGAGGAACCTTGTCCTCAGCTTGAAGCTGGGAACAAGCACTGCAAACACATCCTGTTCACAAGTTCTTCGAACAGTATTAACAGAATAAGGACCTATACAGAAGTCCCACTCTCGTGTGCGACTTGGCACCTTTTTCCACTGCGCATGCGTTAGGTCCGCCATCTTCCTAGCAAGTAAAACCGCAGCAAGCTAATAGTAAATTATATGGCGAAATACCGAGTCGATGCAAGAAAACTTCAATAAAACGCTCTAATTTCATCGAATCGCCATAAAGATTATAGGTGATGAAAGAACACACATTTCTAAAGTGATAATACGGTGTAATGGATGAAATTCCTTGCATTTATACTGGATAAAACGGACGTGAGTGTCGAACAATAATCGATTCAATTATATGAATTTCAAGCGTTTTCGAATCAAGTAAGTTTTATAACTGTCTTTGACAGTTTTATGCATGGGAATGTTCATTTAATGATTGGACCATTACACTAGATCTAACTGCTTAGTATTAAGTCACGAGAAAAGTCTTTGTTAGGTAACTTCTCGGCAATTTGCAATGACATGTTTAATATATTAAATATATCACTGATCACTGATGGCACTGAAGACAATGCTTGAGATCTAGAGCTTTATATAGGAAACTCTATTCTCGTATTTAAAATTGCAGCCGGCAACCAAACGCTATTCTCGATGTTTTTAATATTGCACTTGAAATTTCTCTATTATTGTCATGTGAATAGCGTCAGGAACCTTGTCCTCACAGCCGGAAACCTTGTCCTCACCGCCAGAAACCTTGTGCTCAAAGCTAGGAACCTTGTCCTCACCGCCAGAAACCTTGTTCTCACCCCCAGGAACCTTTTCCTCGCCGGCAGGAACCTTGTCCTCACAGGCAGCAACCTTGTGCTCACGGCCATAAACCTTGAGCTCACCGCCAGGAACCTTGTCCTCACCTTCAGGAACCTTGTCTTCACAGCCAGGACCCTTGTCCTCACCGTCAGTAACCTTGTCCTCAGCGTCAGGGACCTTGTCGTCACCACCAGGAACCATGTCGTCACCCCAGGAACCTTGACGGCAACGCCGCTAACCTCGTCCTCACCGCCAGGAACCTTGTCCTCACCGCCAGGAACCTCGTCCTCACTGGCAGGAACCTTGCCCTGACCGGTAGGAACCTTCTCCTCAGCATGAGGAACTTTTTTCACAGCCAGAAACCTTGTCCTCACCGCCTGGAACCTTGTCCTCACCGCGAGGAACCTTGCCCTCACAGCAGAAACCTTTTCCTAACCGCCAGGGTCCTTGTCCTCATCGCGAGGAACGTTGTCCTCACCGGCAGGCACCTTTTCCCCACCGGCAGGAACCTTGTCGTCACCGCCAGGAACCCTGCCGGCAACGCCAGGAACCTCGACCTCACCGCCAGGAACCTTGTCCTTACCGCCAGCAACCTTGTCCTCACCGCCAGGAACCTCGTCAGCACCGCCAGGAACCTTGTCCTCACCGCCAGCAACCTTGTTCTCGCTGGCAAAAACCTTGTCGTCGCCGGCAGGAACCTTGTCCTCACCGCCAGGAACCTTGTCCTCACCGGCATGAACCTTGTTCTCAGCCGCAGGGACCTTGTCCTCGCGGCCAGAAACCTTGTCCTCACCACCAGGAACCTTGTCGTCACCGCCAGGAACCTTGTTCTCACTGGCAGGAACCTTGTCCTCGTCGGTAGGAACCTTGTCCTCGGCGTTAGGAACCTTGTCCTCACAACCAGGAACCTTGTCCTCACCGCCAGAAACCCTTTCCTCACCGCCAGGAACCTTCTCCTCACTGCCAGAAACCTTGTCCTCACAGCCAGGAACCTTGTCCTCACCGCCAGGAACCTTGT